CCTGCCTGCCTGCCTGCCTGCCTGCCTGCCTGCCTGCCTGCCTGCCTTTCAGCATATATAGTTACGTATCCATGTAAGTAAGTAAGTAAGTAAGTAAGTAAGTAAGTAAGTAAGTAAGCAAGCCAGTCAGTAAGTAAGTCAGTGCGTAAGTGGGTAAGTAAGTAAGTATGGATGTATGTATGTATACACGTATATACGTATATATGTATGCATGCATGTATGTGTGTGTATGTATGCATGCATGCATGTATGGATGTCTATATACACACACACATACGTACATATGTATATGCACACATGGAAGCACATATCTTATTGCAGATCAGAGGCTGGCTTCGGAGCCTTTAGGCGAAGTCATTCGCCCTTCGGCGGCTGCCAGAGGAAAGGCCCCCGGAACCCGTGCGAATCAGAGAATGGGTATGACGCCGGGTGCACAAGTTGTGGCCTTCTGCATAACACTGTTCACCACGTTTCCAGCCGATACCGCCTATACCCCTCCAACAACACGGACCACTGTGGCATATAGATCCAGAAAACGTTCCCTGTGCTTCAGGACTCGGCTCTGGAAGCAGGCAAGCGATAGAGGAAGCTTCATGGAGTTCACGCCAACACCCTCTCAATCGCCAGAGCATGCCGGGAGAAAACCTTTATCTCGGAGCACGATGGCATCGAGCTACTGTGCCGGAAGCCTATGCTACATGAACCACCGGCACCTACAAACTACTTTAAATCCTGAGAAACAGCGGACCGTTCGTGTGGGCCCCGCAAGCGGCACAGGCGGTGCCCATTCTTGCACAGCTCATTCCCCGGATGCTTCCTGCGCGGCGCCTGTAATTATCAGTATCCGAGTTGCCTTTATCTTCTTCTGATAAGATCTCATGGGGTAAGTTCAGTTACCAGGTTTCAGGCGCAGGTTTCATTGCGTCCGTTTCGTGCTGTGCTCCAAGAAAGGGCACCGCCTGTCAGTCGTTAGCAGTTGTGACGCCGACGGCTTTTTTTGCCTCCCACCACATTGCAGTGTTGTGACGCCGACGGCTGAATACAGGGGCTTGAATATTTTGAATAGGGTCTTGATTTTTACTGATTTTGGCTTTTCTACAGTCATACATGGACTACAAGGGAATGTAACAAGTAATAACCACTTATTCAAACTCCCCCAATATTAATCCATCTCATTCAGGGGCACCACCCGTCGCTCGCGCGAGGCCTTGCAGACTGCCTTAATGGCTTCCTGAGCAGCTGACTGCTTCGCAGCCTTCTTGTTCGCGCCGAACTGGCCTTCCACCCTCATCCCACAAAGCGTCACCTCACAGATGAAGCCGCCATCTGGGTGTGTCCAATCCTTGTAGCAGAGAGGATGCATCTCCCGGTCGCTGGGGTGCATTTGTGCTTGCACTGCCACATTGAGCCTTAGCTCTATGTCTTCGTCACAACCCAGGGTGCGTAACATCACATTACTCCGATTCGCCTGCCGTTGTACGAAATGGACAACAACTAAGTAGCCGTCAGAGCGAAAGAAGGACGACGCCCCAGGAGCGTTATCTAACAGCAAAAAACCCAAGTCGTGGCGAGGAGCAAAGATATGGGATCATGCGAAGATTCTGCCTTCGGATTCTTGACCAGATAGTCTCCAATGCATCGCAACAACTGCAATTCCACGGCGCTCTGCCGAGGAATGGCCTTTCAGGGCAAAAGCAACGAGGTTGAGGGGCTCCGAGTTCGACTTTCGAGCTGGGCTTCCATGAAACCGAAGAAGACCCTTCAGCCAAGACCCGAAGCATAGACTTCTAAAGCCCGAACCCACAACGCCAAACCCGAAAACCGCAATCCTAAACCTCAACGCACAGCTGCGCTCAGAAATGAAGCGCCATTGCCAAAACAGCCTGCGAAGGCCCTGCGAGGCCCTATGACCGTATAAGCCGTCTTTGCAAGGCCTTGCAACTGTTTAGCTTCCTTTTATGCTCAGAAGACCTTGAGAGCTCAATACCTCAGAGCGACGCAAGATACGCACTGTTAGTTGCATGGGACCGCTTGTGGTATTCCTTGGCTTAGGGGTGGTCAGGCCTCTTGAGGATCAATTATTAATAGGTTACCCTAGACTGAACATGAAAAACCATTACTATACAGGAAAACCCAGTTCAAGGGACCCCCACTTCACGCCTAAACCCTTAGCTAACCCTTTATTAAGCCCTGAATGCCTAACTCTCAACCCTAAGGCCCCCAAAACCCCAGCATCCCACAAAATCCACAAAGCTCGTCAAGCCCCTAGAAGCCCCCTAAACCCTAAACGGCCCTAAACCCTAAACCCTAAAACTCAAAAATCCTAAACTAAACTCTAATCCCTAAACCCTAAACCCTAAAACCCTAAACCCTAAACCCTACACCCTAAACCCTAAAGCCCTAAACCCTAAACCCTCACCTCATGCTTCGGCGGAGAGCGCTCTGGGATCCCTCCATGAACTCCCGGAGCGGACGCAGGGACTCCGCCGCGCAAGGGAGCTGGCGCCTTTTAGAAAACAAAAAACCTCTCGGGGGCTCCCGAAGAAGGGGTTGAGGGTTTTTAGGGTTTAGGGTTTAGGGCCACGGGGTTCCTCACTAGGAAAGGGTTCCGAGGGTTCTTTTTAAAAAGGGCTCCCCCTCTATAGGGCTCTTAGAAAAAACGGGGCTCCCTACGAGGGTTCTTAGATCAGGGCTTGGACAGGAGTCCCAAAGGGGGGGTTCTTTCTGAGGGTGCCTATCAAGACTCCCGATGAAGGGTGCTTTAGAAGGTTTTGGTGAAGGGTTGTCTTACGCTACGAGTGGGTCCTTCAAAAGGCTTCCGGCAAGGATTTTTCATGAGGATTTTCTCAGAGGTTTAGGAGTTTTCGGTTCTAAGGTTAAGGAGGAGGCGCCTTAGGCCCAAGGAGTCCAAGGAGGGGTTTTGGGGGGAGGTTTTGAGTCTTCGGGCTTTTCAGTCTTGACTTTGCGGTCCTTGACTTTGACGGGTGCCTTCCCCCTAAACCCTAAACCCATCCCCAAA